ATTTGTTGGAGTTAGATTGCTGCAAAATAACTTGAATTGAGCTTGTTTAGTTCAATAACGAACTGAAAGAGGAAAGTTGAGTGAGGGAAAAAGGCAAGAGGTGTGAGCAACACTTGAGAGAAAAGCCAAGTTCTACAGTGCGTAAAACACGAGTGTAGAGTGCCATTTTGTGAGAGAGTGGAGTGAAACACGTAAGAGAGTGTTGAGAGGTCCTTTTATTTTCTGTTTCTAACATTCCTTGCAGGTTTCAATCATGTCAAGCGGTGATGATAGAAAACACCAAGTGGATGATGCCTTCATGCTCAAGGCTATGCAACAACAATTTCAGAGGCTAGACATCATGTTTGGTGAAATTAAAGACAAAATGGAGAAGCAAGATGCAGCCATTGCCAAGTTATACCAAATACATAATGGAAGTCCAAATTTGCATAATCACAATCTTGATGACAATGATGAAGATGCATTCAACGATGATGCCCAGAACCCAAATTTCAGCATGGACAGATTTATGAGAGGTAGAAGGGGTCAAAGATATAGATTTAACAAAGGAGACCAAAATCTGGCAAGGTGGGGAGATCGGCAAGATCATGACTTAGGCAGCATCAAGATGAAAATTCCTCCATTTCAAGGCAAAAATGATCCAGATGTGTATTTGGCGTGGGAAAAGAAGGTGGAATATGCCGTTGAGGGAGAACTGCTTGTCACTAGGCAAGCTTTGAATGTGCAAGCCAAAAAAGATGATGAAGTACAACGTGACAATATATTTCACACGAGTTGCCATGTCAAAAACAAGGTATGTAGTGTGATTATTGATGGTGGTAGTGGTACTAATGTAGCTAGCACTGTTTTAGTTGAAAAGCTTAATTTACCTATGATGAATCATCCAAGGCCATATAAGCTGCAGTGGTTAAACGATTGTGGAGAAATCAAGGTAAATAAGCAAGTTCTGGTTTCATTCTCTATCGGACGATATAAGGATGAGGTACTGTGCGACGTGGTTCCCATGCATGCTGGACATTTACTTTTGGGAAGACCATGGCAATATGATAGGAGAGTAACACATGTGGCTTCAAAAATCGCTATTCGTTCATCATGGAAGGGAAAACAATTACTCTTGTGCCGTTGAGTCCAAGGCAGGTTTATGAGGATCAACTGAGGCTGAAAAAAGAGAGTAAGCTGAGAAAAGAGAGTGAGCTTGAGGGTATGAAAAGCAGAGAGAAAACAGTAGAGAAAGAGTTAAAAAAGAGAGAAAAGATCGAGAGTGTGGAAAACAAAGAGAGAAAATCAGTGAGTGTTTATGCAAAAAAAAGTGATGTCAAGGCTGCGTTCTTTGCAAAGCAGCCTATGTTTGTGCTTCTGTATAAAGATACTTATTTCAACACTAACGAACTTAATGATTCTTTGCCTAGTGCTATTAAATCTCTTTTGCAGGACTTCAAGGATGTGTTTCCAGATGACGTTCCTAATGGTTTACCACCAATGAGAGGAATCGAGCATCAAATTGACTTCATTCCTGGTGCAACAATTCCAAATCAACTAGCATATTGAAGCAATCCCAATGAGACGAAAGAACATCAAAGGCAGGTCGAAGAACTCATGAAAATGGGACATGTGAGAGAAAGCATGAGTCCATGTGCAGTTCCAGTGCTACTTGTGCCTAAGAAGGATGGGACTTGGCGTATGTGTGTTGATTGTCGTGCGGTCAACAAAATTACTATAAAGTATCGTCACCCTATTCCTAGATTAGATGACATGTTAGATGAGTTGCATGGTTCTTGCATATTCTCTAAAATTGATTTAAAGAGTGGATATCATCAGATTAGGATGAAGGAAGGTGATGAATGGAAAACAGCCTTTAAAAGGAAACATGGTTCATATGAGTGGTTAGTTATGCCATTTGGATTAACTAATGCACCTAGTACATTCATGCGATTAATGAATCATGTTTTGCATGCTTTCATTGGCAAATTTGTGGTTGTTTATTTTGATGACATTCTGATATATAGTAAGAGTTTAACTGATCATATTGAGCATCTGCGAATGGTATTAGAGCTTTTGAGAAAAGAAAACTTGTTTGCTAACATTAAAAAGTGTTCCTTTTGCACAAATCAGATTGTCTTTTAGGGTATGTTGTTTCAGCTGATGGAATTGTAGTAGACGAAGAAAAGATTAAGGCTAAAGAATGGCCAACACCTAAGAATATTTCTGAGGTGTGGAGTTTTCATGATTTGGCGAGTTTCTACTGGAGATTCATCAAGGACTTCAGCACAATTGCAGCTCCATTGACTGAAATCGTGAAACAAAGTGTTGGATTTAAGTTGGAAAGTGGACAAGAGAATGCTTTCAATTTGATTAAGGAGAATTTAATTTCTGCACCATTATTTGCTTTACCTGATTTTACTAAAACTTTTGAAATTGAATGTGATGCATCAAGTATTGGCATTGGCGCTG